CTCTTTCTCTGAATTATCATGATGCCCACTCACCCAAGAACGACGAGGCTAATAATCAATATAATCATATTAACGGTGTATTAACAGTAGTACTAATAAAGGCACAAGTACAGACATCATATCCTAATTGAAGAAAGTACCTATCTAGTTTAGAGAAGCACGTTGTTTACAAATACAACACTTGGGCTGGAGTGGGATTCACTATTTCCGAAAGCAACTCAGTTATTCTGGAAAATTACACTTACTGACATATTCAAATTAGGATTGGTTCATGAGCATTACACAAAATGAGAAGTTGAAGTAAACAATCAACGCATGACCATCTGTTATCCACTTTAAATGAGCATTACACAAAATGAGAAGTTGAAGTAAATCTTCTACCGCTGAAAAAAAAAAAAAAATGTTTCGCCGTAACCCACTGAGGATGCTACTCCCGGCCTTATTCTACGGCGCCGTAACTCACTAGGGATGCTACCTTCGGCCTTACTCTTGACTTGACAAAAAGTCTTTTTATGATTTGAAGATTCGAATCTATCTTACCCTATATAAAAAAGTATGGTATTAAGCGGATGTTCGGAACGAAATTCGAAACATGTTTCACATGAGTTTTGACCGTGACTGTACCAAAATGGCGGGTCCCTGTGTAAGAGCGTTCGGCCGTAAGCTAAGGCGCCTTAAGGAGACATGGCGACGTTGCGAATCCCTGATGCCATATCTTTAATCAAATCCATTTGTATTTTCAACCTTTTTCGTACCCAGGTTATCAGATTACGGAAGCACTCCAAGAATGTAAACAGGCGCGTCTTCAAGACACTTATATCTCTAAATTTTATTTCCTTTGCACTAACACTGATTTCCCTTATCATGATTTTATTGCTAGAATTATTCACCAAATCTCTTCTTCATTCTGATAACACTTCATACATTGAATATTCATATACAATATCTCTATTACTTTATACACCATTTATTTTTTTCTCTCTAAAAAGGGACTTAGAGAAGCGCAGTCTAAAGGTAGTTGATAATTTTTCAGTTCCCGACAACGTATAATCATAATTATGATCATAATTATCAGCATCTCGCAATTGACGCAACTTCGTAATGCAATGATCGTTATAATTCGAATAACTGATTACAAACACCGTTGAAAAAAATAATAATCGCCAAATTTACGTTATCTAATGTTATCTTTCTAGCAGACGAAATACTTAATGTTATCAAATATGCATGCAACTAGGATGGATATAAACTGTAGTGAAAATGATTTATGAGAGATAAAACGTAGATCATACTTTTTCTTGTGGTAATCACAGTACTTACAATGATTGTAATGGTGATAATGATAAAAATGTAGTAGTTGTAGTCGCAATAGTAATAATAATAATAATGATAGTATTAATAATAATAATGATAATAATAATAATAGTATTAATAATAATAATAATGATAATAATAATGATAATAATATGATAATAATAATATAATTAATAATAATGATATGATAATAACAATGATGATGATGATAATAATTAAATTAATATTGATGATGATGATGATACTACTACTACTAATAATAATAATAATGATAATGATTACAAACAACAACAACAACAAAATAATAATAAATAATAATAATAATAATAATAATAATAATAATAATAATAATAAATATAATAATAATAACAGTAAGGATAATAATAATCATCATAACAAAGCTAATAAAATTGATAGTTTCAATGAAGATAATAACAACAACAATAATAATAGAAATGATCATAATAATAATAATAGTAATCACATTAACAGAAGTGACATTAATCACGACTGGAAGACAAAATTAAAAGGGAGGGAAATGGAGGTCAGACAGGAACAAGCAAAGGGGGAAATGGATCTAGTTATATCGCTGTGTTTCGCTTGGGCTACAATGCTGCGTGTTTGTCTGTTTATTTGTATGAAGTTGATGGTGATGATGTTGATAATGAAGATACGTTGGTTGTGATAGTAGTGATGATGATAATGATTATGGTAATAGTGATAATGATAATGACAGTAATCACAATGGTAGCAGCAATAATGATTATAATGATGATAAAAAAGTGATAATATTGATAATCCTGTGTTCTTTCATTAAAATTGCAACAACACCAACGACAATATCATTAGTGTCTATCATTGCAATCATTATTATCATCACCATTACTTACCGACCATGATACTAATATTTCCAAGAACGGTTATCAACCCAGTTAGCATTTATCTCTAATGTAAATTTTCTCATTTTTTAAAATATAGGCCGTGGCTGATAACAGCAGATCAGTGTTGATAAACAGCTCGAGAGAAGGTCACGAGGGGCGACACTTCTGCTCCAATGACATCATTACTTCTAAAGTTAGTCTGGGTATTTCTGTATATTTAACATAGTCCACTGATGACATGGCGTTGGAATTTTATTTGCATTTTGATATATGTGAATACATTTTTAAAATTATGAACGATATCC